AAGTAACTTCAGAAAGAAAGAAGTAAATTAAAGTATACTTCGTACTGCTTTACTCAATTGAAATAAAGCAATAATTCTGCATTCATGTTCAGTCCAAGAAAAATTCTCAGTAATCCTCCTTACATTCAAAGCAAGACCATCTGACATTAGTCTTTTCCTTATCAGTGTCATGTTTTTGCCCTTCAAAGACAAAAATGTGGTGAGAAACCAAGGACTGGTATCATTGCCAGATTCAGCTTCTAGTATAAAGATGGGTTAAATTGGACAATGATTGCCTGTATTTTGAAAAATAATTTTAATGCTTAACTTATTTTATGCTCTAATACTCAAGTAATAACCTGGTATTTATAATTATTTATTTAAATTCTCTAGTAAAGAAAGGAAAATTAAGATTTCCCGATTTTCATTTTCTTTTATTGATATATCAGAGCTTTATTCAATAAAGTGGGCCTAGTATTTTCAAAACACTTGGTAGTATTTAGTTCGTGATTTCCTCTTGTTTAGTCAAAGGTGTCATATGTGCTATATTTTATGTTTCATTGAACAAAAATATAAAATCATTTAGTTGTAAATTGGGACTGTTTCAACAAGCAGTCCAGGACCAATCATGCACTAGTTCATGGCCGATTTACTGTGCATGTCCGGTCCATGTACTAGTTCATGAACTGGGCTTGTTGAAACCCTTTCTTGGTAGGTTTGACCATTTTTGACGCCACCAACGTAGAAGGTTACCCATGTTCCTAGGTTAAAAATATTGTTGCTTCAGTTGGTCCCAGAGATTATTATTTGGTTTACACCGACCCTTATTACAAAACCAAATAATTAAATTTTGTTTCTTAAGAAGATTTTTGAATGAATTTGAACTTTGAAACATTTATCTATCGGTAGTATCAAAATTCAAGATTCACTCAAAACTCACTTAAAAAAATTTATATAATTAAGAGATTTTGGAATATGGGTTTCATAATGATATGTAATAAAATCATTACACTAAGTCTTCGTCAAAGCATTAGGCATTTATCAGATATACAACCTTTAAATATGTCTTGACAACCATAGTATAAAAAATTAGTTACATTAAACTTGTCACTAAGTAAAAATTTCTATTGTGAATTTCAAAATAAACACAGCAGCCTTAATAAATGATTTTATGAAATCTTATAATGTGGTAAATATTCCAAAACTACATTATTTTTCTTAAATAATGTTTTGAGTTGATCTTAAAGTTTGGTAATGCACCCCAATGTAGGCCTAAAACTAGGAAATCATAAAATGAGGCTTCTTCGTTGTTTATTATATCAATTTCATCTTTGACCACACTCCAATCAACTTCTACTATTATTTGATCTAAAATCAAAAATATTAGACACCATTATAAATTTAAACAATTGTTTCACATAACATTAAAAAATATCTCTGATTGTTCACTTAATTACTGTTCTATATAATATTGTTCTGAATTATTGTAATTTTAATAATGAAGTTTATAGGTTGAGAGAATAATTAGGATTAAATCCCAATATGGAAAATGAGGAAGTCAAAGATAAAATGGAGGCAATGACCTTATTCGATTTTTAAATGAATTTAACTTGATTAACAAAAACACTTTTATTTTTATTTTTACAATCGACTGTTACAATAAAGAATTATACTTTTGAAGAATATATTTTTTGTCATTAGGTAATCTTAAACTACATAACAAATACAAAACATTTTAAAGAAAAAATATATTTAAAACAAAAATAAAGAATAAAAAATACATGAAATAAGTATATGAAACTTAAATGCTAGGTGATTATTGCTGATCTGAATTACGAAATAATGACAGAGAAATTATTAAATAATTAAAGAAATGAAAATCATTTTAATAACTTAAAGATGTGTTTAGACTTATCACAAATTATGAGAAAAACAAATATATGAATTTTTTTTCCCATATTAATATTCTTGTTTCTTATTTTGATGTTTTCCATCTACTGTCAGTAACAGGAGAAATAAAATAAATAGTTTGGTTTAGTGCTAATGTTGTTGTTAGTTAAGTTAACTGATTGTGCTTCCCATAACATGTACCACTATTCCCCATGAAGGGTCTTGGGTTTAGTACTATTTAGAGAATTTACTGTTTCTTAGTCAACGGTTGTGCAAGGAGATGATTTGACTGAGATCACGCTCAGCTGCCAGGTTTTCCCCCTTAATTATTTAATTAAGAGTTCCCACTTTATTAGAGGCTGGGAATGCCTCAGGAGAGTCTCTTGACCACAGGGCCATCCCACGACTCATGAAACAGAATTAAGAATTTTCTGCCATGAGCCAGGATCTGAACCTGGGTCCTTGAGCAATGAAAGATCAGTGCTCTACCACTGATACCTACCTCCCTTTTGTTTCCAACACTTTATGCTGTTTTTAAATACACCTTACAATACATCCAAAAACCAGATTTTGTAAACTTTTTGAAAGCATAAACAAGTGTTATCATGATTATAGAATCTGAAGGACTCAAAATTAGCATTGGTCATAATAAAAAATAGGAAACATTTATTAAATTATGATAAACACAAACAAATCAAAAACGAACCCCTCAGTGATATATATAACAACAAATTGGTAACCATATTATATAAGAATAGTTGAAAATAAACTATTCCTCCTTCCCCATGCATAAACACTTAGATTTTATCAATATCTCATTTCTGTTCCTAATTATTTCCAGTCTTTTCTACTGGTAGTCTGATCTTTTCAATAGGACTCATTTTTAGTTTCACATTCTTCTTAGGTTTCTTTATTGATCTGCTTGTTCTTCATTCTGATCTATTTATGTTGGCTGGTATATAACAATCAATTTATCTGAAAAAGAAATAAAATGAAAATTTGGTTTGGAAGAAAAAATAAAATAAATTTTTTGACAGTTGACTGTTGCCGCTATCGTCGTCTAACCCACACCTTTAATTTGTATGATAACGTTTGCTCATGTCTGTGACTATTAGTACATGTGCTGGAAAGTCTTATAATTTCGAGCTAAGGATTTGGCTATCTGTCCCAGGTTCAAGGCTTTTTGTCCAGAACCTGGTGTGCACCTTGTTGGAACAGACCCATAGTATGAGCTCTTGGAAAATCAATATCTCTGTGCTTGCCTGAATTCCATACAAATCATATGGTATTAACTTACGATTGTGTTTATTACACTTTATAGTTTGGTGGCTAAGGCTGTGGCAGCATAATGAAAAAGAGATACTAATTTGAATTCGATCTGAAGTTATTTATGTGTAGATTCTTGGAATTTATCTTTTCTTTCTCACCGGTGCTAGAATAGGTTGCTTGTAATATAGTACCAATATCAGTTATATATTGGTAACAGCCCTTTGTTAGTTATAGACTGTAACTTTTGTAATAGATAAGAGACATAAACGTGACAGTATTTGGTAGGAGAGAAATTTGTGATTTATGTAAAGCTATCATTTAATTTACTAGGTTTTTATGTAGCCCCCCCTGTGCTCCTATACTCAGAGTCTCATGTTTGAGTCCGGCTGTGGCAGATAATTATTTATTCTGTTACATCTGTTATGGGTCGACCCTGTGATAAGTAGATCCTCTTTGAGGGAATCCAGCCTCTACAAAGTGGATACTTTTAATTAAATAATTAAGTACAGGAGAAAACGTGGTAGTTGATGCGAAGTGGCTAATGAAGCTTCCAGCATACTTCAATAAAAATATAAAGTAATTTATTTACGGTATTTTCAACAAACCTTTGCTCTTTTATAATATAAAATTAAATTTTACATATCTCGTTAGATTTTTATCTGACATAATATTTTATATGAAATCATAAAATGTAATATATAAAACACGTGTTACATTGATTTATAAACATGTACTGGTATCAAATTTCGCTTCAAAAATGTGAATGTCATAATATTTATTACAAGTTGAATACATTTTTTTTTTAAACTAAACATTATGTTATCAATAATGTTTGTGCATTTATTTGGAATGTAGTTTTTGAAAAATTATTATTGTTCATTTACATTTGTATTTGCTTATTTTGTCTTAGCATTCAATTGATAACTGTTGTAGGCAAAGTTATTTCATGATGGAGCATAAAAGCTAAGTTTGCCTAATTTTTTATCTCGATTTTTTTCCCAAACAAGTGTTGTTGAATCATGCTTATATTCTCTAATCAAATTTTAAATGAGTAAAATTAATTACAATTTGTATTATTTTTCTAAGTTTACAATTTTAGAAATGGTAGGTTATCTAATCAGTTCACCATATGTTCACTTGACATGTTTAAAAGTGTAAGTAGAATTAGGTTATACCCACAAGTTGATGTAAATTTAACTGTATCATTACGGGCAGATTTAATAGCTTTGATATGAAGGCTATTTATATAAATTGTTAGTTTGAAAATTGTTTACAAGAAATTACTCAAAGTTTTGTAATTTGAAAGTTTCAATTTCTCACTCTGTATCTGATTAATTATTTCTTTGGGAAAATGGTTGATTGTGATAGGAGAGGATCTGATTGGTTTAATATCAGTGAGTGTTCTTTCTTGGATGATGTTTATCATCAACTGTTTAAGGTGCTTCAATAGACTAAATGCAAATTGTATTTTTTTTTTTTTTTTTTCATAAATCCCTCTCTCCTCCGCTCTGAGCAATTATTATAAGAGCTAGATGCTGCACAAGCATCTTGATAATGGGATTATAAAAGATAACTCTATGATAACTTATTTTTTACTATCTTTTATAATATCTTATTCTAAACTAATAACTTTTGAAAGAATTGTTTGTTATGAATACTTCCCATTCAATTAATTTTTCTTTACATAGCTAAAAATTCTTGTTTGAATATTTTAAGACAGTTGAAAATTCAGTTTTGATAATTATTCTTTTCTTGGAAATTTATATAACTTTTTCTCTTTTCTACTTTTGATATGTTATTTTTATTTATTACTTATATGCATTCCCATGTTGTGTTTCTAATACTTTTTTCTATTCTAATAGGTAAAGATGGAAATAAGGTGACTACAGTAGTGGCGACGCCTGGCCAAGGGCCAGACCGGCCTTTGGAAGTATCATACACTGATACGAAAGTCATTGGCAATGGAAGTTTTGGTGTTGTCTACCAAGCAAAGCTTTGCGACACCAATGAAATGGTGGCTATTAAAAAAGTTCTCCAGGACAAAAGGTTTAAGGTAAGTTCTATATGTAACATTATTTTATTAGCTACAAAATGGATATTTTTGAAGTAATATAAATATAAGCTTAAATAACGGGTTTGTTTATTGGATTTATATTGGATTATGTATTGGACTTATGTAATCAAACTGAGGCGGGTAGTTGTGCATCACCCCCAGTTAATAGGTAGTGTGAAAATGTTGAAATCTTTTTGATTGATCCATCTTGATATGAAAATAAATTCTCCAGGCCAAATCTATAGCAATACTTTTATAAAATACCAATATTTTATTTTGAATTGCGTAATACTTTATAAGAACTTTTCATCAGTAATTAATCTTGAATTTCATAATACTTTATAAGTACTTTTCATCAATAATTAATCTGTTAAATGAGCAATGAGCGGTAATTGGACCTACAATTGTCATTATTGGGTTGATGCAAAAATAATGCAGGTTTGCCGCCATTGTTATGTTTTGATTGAATTGTGTAAACAAAGGAAATTCTAAATATTCATTCTTTATATTCCATTATAAAACTTATCTAATACCCTCTCTTTCACCAATAATTTAGTCAGTAAAGCCATTTTGTTCAGTGTGCTTAAAGGTTTTGAAACTTATTCTATTTTTTATATATATATATTTTTTTTATGAATTTAATTTAGGGCGCACCACTGTGCAAACTGCTTGTAAAATTAATGAAGTGTGGAATTAGGAGACTATTAACGAATGTACTGTGTAGCAGTGGTTCCACGTTTTTATTTATTAATTTCTGTTTCCAAGTTTCACAGTTGAGATTTCAACTTGGAATTCTAGGAAGGTTGTGGCTTCCAGTTGTCAATGAGCTGTGCAGGTCAGTTGTAAAAGAATACAGTGGCTTAATAATACAGTGCGGTCATACGGAGAGGACGGCCATATTGGACCGGCGGGAAACTAATATTTGAATAGTCTGTCTTTGTTATTTCAATTTAAAAAGTAATTATTGCAACAAACTATTTACTAGAATGGTTTGCGAGATAGAATTGAAGTTGAACAATCTGTATGAAGCATATGAATCACTTATATCATGCGAAAATAAATAATAAAATCAAAGAACAATATTTGTTTTTTTTTCTGTTTAATTTCTTTTAAAATATATTCCAATAAACTTTGGCATATTAAGATTTCCATTGTGTTCATCTTACTCTCTCATTGGCAAATTTCACAAACAAATTAATTAATTATTAAAACATTAAACAAAAACTATGTGAAAATTAACTTTCATTGGAAAACCAGAAACTCAATTCTAAGTCAGCAATCATGAAACTATTTTTATTTTTCTTCTTAATATTCACCTTTAGAAAAAAAAACTTTAAATAAATGTTAATTATTTAATCTAAATTTAATAAATACAAATTATTTAATGTAAATTTAGTAAATATAAATTATTTAATGCAAATTTAATAAATATAAATTATTTAATGTAAATTTAATAAAAATAAATTATTTAATGTAAATTTAATAAATATAATTTATTTATATTGCTTATGACTGAATACCACAACTAGTGTTGCCTAAATGCGAGACCATGAGGTGTCTTGGTCTTGTGCAAGTCTCGCAACAGTCTTCCAGTTACCTATCAGCTTCTTATTATAGATATATTACTGTAATTTGTCAGACATGGGAAACCTAAGCCCAAATGAAAAATTGAGAGTTAAATTCCAAAGGATATTGGTTACACCAATTCTTTACATATGGTAACTAAATTTTTCAAGTTTTACTATTACAACTATTTCAAGGTTGACTATTTTAACTTAATTTTTATTCATAAAAAGGATTTTTTTATCAGTCTTGGTCTTACAAGTTAGGCAGACCTTAGTCTTGATTTTGCAAAGTATATCACCAAGACTGATTTTGGACAACACTAACTATTATAAATCCACTATAATTACAATTTTAAATAGTTCAAAATTTGATCCTCGATGTATAGATTCATTTCTGATCATTGATATAAAATATTTTTTTATGAAATGGTTTACTCTTACCATAATGTAGATATTTTATATTGCATCTCTTATTTTATTTATTTTTCATTAGTTTTTTGGGAAATTAGAGATTGTTGGCTATAATATATTTTCAATTTTATCACACAGGATATACCAAGTAAAAATAACTAATAGTGAAACATAAAACTGTAAGGATAAAATACAATAAATTATCAATTGATTGAAGAACTATCCAATTTAACTTGAAAAAGAAAACATTTTCAATCAACAAAGGAATATAAAAAAAAAAAAAGATGAAACAGAATATTTATTTACAAAGAAATTTAAATTTATAAATGCTGCACATATACATTTACATATTTACTGCTAAAAACAGACATATGAGGGAAATTCTTTTTACTTATTGAATTTATCCTAAGTCTAAATACAATAAACCTCTTAAGAATACTATATTTAATATTGTTACAATTAAATATGTGTTCTTCATCAACAGAACTCATTTTTCTCTATGAAAAATCCTCTTAAATCACCTCTGAGTTGATTTGGCTCATATAGGTTTCGAAATTGACTTAATCCTTTAATTTGTTACTTTATTTTATTAATTTTCCTTTGTAATTCAGTGGTTATGAGAGAAAAAGATTGAAATTAAGTTTGAAACTTGATTATAGAAGATATTTTTATAGTTTGGGGCTATTAGCTGATACAATTTGTATTTTGAAGTCAGTGGTTTCAAGTATAAAATTGAAATTTGGTTTTCATTTATAGTTATTGTTACTTTCAATATTAAAAATATGAGTGTAGTTGATGATCCTTAAATCATAGTTTAATTGAGTATAGTTGATGATCCTTAAATGATAATCTTGACCTTAAATGATATTCATATTTTAATGATGAAAGTAACAATAACTATAAAGGAAAACAAAATTTCAATTTTATACTGGAAACTAATAACTTCAAGATAAAAATTGTGTTCTCTAATAGCCTCGAACTATAGACACTGTCTTCATATAACCAAGTTTCAAACTTGATTTCCATCTTTTTCTTTCATTACCACTGAATTAAAAAGGAAAATTAATAAAATAAAGTAAAAAATTAAAGTATACTCACAATTTTAAGTCTACGAAGAAGAAACCAAACTTGTCACTTTAACTTTAAACACTAATATTTATAGCTATTAAATAAAAAATACCTATTAATAAACTAAATCTATTACTAAAACAACACAATTAAACTTTCAAACAAAATATCACTAATAAAATATGAGTCTGTGAAGATGAAACCTATCACTGAACATGAATAGGTTAACTATCACTTTAAACACTAAAACGTACAACTATTCAATAAAAACTACCTATTAGTAAACTAAATTTATTACTAAAACAACACAATTAAACTTTTAAATAAAATATCACTCATAAAATAAGTCTGTAAAGATGAAACCTATCACTGAACAAGAAACCAAAACAATCACTGAAAACACTAAAACGTATAACTATTCAATAAAAACTACCTATTAATAAACTAAACCTATCACTTAAACAACAAAATTAAGCTTCTGAACTAAAATACTGCTAATAAAATATGGAATTTTAACACTTTTGAGGTGCCTAAAGAGCAAGCAGATAGCAAGGGACGATCCAAGATGGCCAACCAATCAGAAATCGAATCCATATGACTGCACTGTATTATTAAGCCACTGTATAAAAGAAGACCAAACCAAAAGCATTCAAGAAATTTAGAATCTGTCGGGAACCAATTCACCATTGAACGCCACTAGGAGGCTATTGATAAGGCATAAAGTGTTATTGGCCAAGTGAGTGCTACACCTATTAAACGACCAACATAAAAATTACCACTTTGAAATCTGTTCTATGCTTTTGACACACAATAAAAACGATCTACTTCTCGATCACATAGTGACGTGTGATTGAAAATTGGTCCAATTATGTCAACAGAAGGCATTGTAATCAATGGCTGGACAAAGATGAATAACCAAGACATTTCTCAAAGCACAACCTGCATCAGAAAAAAGTTATGGTCACTGTGGTCTACTGTCGCTCTTAAACAGCTTTCTAAATTTCGCTAAGTTGGCCACTACTGACAAGTACTGTTAAAAAATTGATGATATGAATTGGAAACAGCTAATTTGTCTAGCATTGATTAATCGGAAGGAATTGATCCTTCTCCATGATAATGTCAGGCCACACGTAGCACAACCAATGCAACAATTACACGAGGTTGGTTACGAAAATCTCCAACACCCATCTTATGTACCTGACCTCTCTCCTTCGCATATTTTGACATGGCATATTTTCAATGTATATAAAATAACCAAATTATTTTTGCTTTAACTCTTATTTCTTATCAGATTTATTTATCTTCAATGAAGAATCTGATTCTCATATTCAGACTGTACTGTTCAATTACCGTTTTTTAAATTTAATTTTTTGATGAAATGAATTACTTTAACAGAACTTTTAAATAAAATTATTTATAAATATAAGTTCTATAAAACTTTTGTAAATTTCAAAGGAAAAAAGTTTTAGTTCTGAAATAACAGAAAAACAATTTTTAAAAATCTGGTGCGGTCCGAGCATCACACAACTTTCACTTACCTTCAGCAGAAATAAATATTTTCAGAAAAAGGGAAATGAAAGTAAAAATTTTAGACGATATGAAACATTATTTAAAACAATTAATTAGCACATGTTTTTCAGAGCCGTCTAATGTATTATATTTATTTTATTATAATAAATAATTAAGTGCAATAAAATATTTTTAGTCTGATAGGAGTGCCACCGATAAAGAAGGCCTTTATATTTCATTGTGGTTATTTTTAAGGGAGTGGGGTAGCTCATAGGTAGGGCACTGATCTTCCAATGGTCGAAGTCCCGAGTTCGAATCTTGGCTCTTAGAAGAAAAATTATTTATTCTGTTCCATCAGGTGTGGGGCTTATATTGGGGCGACGATGGGGGCACACCCACCCTCTCAAAGTGGGTACTCTTAAACAATTATTTAACTATTGGGAAAACCTGGCGGTTGAGCGTGATCTCAGTCAAATCACCTCCTTGCACAACCGTCGACTAACCGTTCTAATCTTCCGATGAGCTTGGGAGCGCTCGTATTCCTTTGGTCCCTCAATTACTTCTATTCTTAATTATGATCTCTTGTTTCTCCTTTAGTTAATTATCAAACTCTTCCATATTTTATATTTAACCACATTTTATATCAGAGTGAACTGTGAAATGGTTAATTATTTCAAATAAAATATTTCATGTATAGGTAAGTGTAAATAATAAAAGTTCTGTCTTTAACTCATTTGTATCATTCCATATTTATATTGTACTCTAAACATCCAACACAATTAACAGAACATCTCTCCATAACAGCTTTTTTCATCTATACTTTTACTGACTCTCTGTTCTTTTTAGAAGTAGTGTTATAGGGTTATTAAGATTTTAGAAACATAAGATGGGATCAACAAATTATAAAATGTTCATCTTTCTCATTATTATGTTCTTTAATGGCATCAATACTGTTATGATTTTTTTAGTTTAAATTAAATTAAATCTGTAATTCAGGTTATGCCAGTCTTCTTATTCTTGATATCTTTAGGTTAAAGAGCAAACATCACATATTTTACCTGAAGCCATTTTCTTTTATTTTTAATAACATTAAGCTTGGGTTATGGAAGAATTAAATTGAACTGAGATACAGTATTTTATTTTAAATAACTAGTGAATTTTGATTGCTTAATTTATTAGACTCTTCTTTATGAATTGTTGGATTCAGCTTAGCGAGAGGATCTAAGATATTAAAAAAAAAAAAATTATCAGATACTTCCTGTAATTATCACTTGATGTGTTCATATAAAATTCTATTCCCTATCTCACGGGTGCTGTTCAGCCGGTGTGATATAACATCTGCCTGCTTATCCTGACCTGTAACAGTGATCACCATGGTAGCCAGTAACTGCATTATTTAGTGTTGCCGTTCAACAAGTTTTTTAAATTAAAATGTCTAATAAGTCATTTTAATAAACTTTTTGTATCATTATTTTTATTTTTTTTCAAGAACAAAAATAAATGAATAAGTTTTTGATTTGAAGCCAAATAAGATTTTGCGTTCAATGAATCACTAGTGATGTGTTCATGAGCCCATCTCTTATTTTATAGCTTCATATTCCTGGTTCTAATAATTTTCTGTGAAATATGACACACTGATTAATAATGCTATGCACATATCACATTATCTTTTAACATTTTATTTCACGTTTTATTTTTTTACTTTCCCATTTATGTATGTTATAAAGGAAATTAATATTTTATATAAATTTCATACATTAATAACTGGCTGGACTGCATGAATAATTTTTATATTATATTATTCAGTAAATAAATGGCAATATAATATGGAAATAAGAAAATATTGTTTGGAGAGTGAAGAATTAATTATGTTTTCCTTGCCCCATTACAATAGTTAATTCAACTATATAAATTTAAATGTATGCATATTACTATTGGTTATATATTTGCTAAAAATGGTTACATCAAAGTAGATTCGCCAGAAATAGTTCTTTTTTTTTTTTTAGGGATTACCTATTCCTTGGAATTTCAGTCTATAGAATTACACGGCCCTTTTTGAAAAATTTTGAGGATTTTTAAAAAAAATATTTAGGAATTTTTAAAATCTTTTCTAATTATCGTGGTTATAGTCAATCCTAAACTGGATTCTTTTTTGTTTATGCTCAAATGAAGTTGGATTTTCTTTTCTTTACTTTTTTTCTGGGGGATGTGCTTATTTTGTTTTGCATTTCAAAGAGAATCATTGGGTTTGATAGAGAATTTAGAAAAATATGGCATATCGAAAAAAAAACTTCGAGAAATAATACATAAAGGTATTGAGATAACATATGATTTCCATAGAATAGTTCACTTTTTATTAGTTTTACAAATTTTAAATTTACAAATACTAAAACTATACATCTGCTACAATATTGTACTTGTTAATTATAAGGATATTTATATTATCTAACTATGATCTTCTGAAGATCATAAACCAAAAATAAGAGTGAAGACAAATTAAAATTAATAAAAAAATCTATATAATTTAGGTGACTTGGAACCACAGAACTGTTAAATTATTCTCAAATTATATAATTATTTAAGAACGAGTTATACCTGTAGTTTTTTAAAATGTATTTTTAGGGGAGATCTTTTGTGATTAAATTTATTTATTTCCCTTAACTCAAATAATAATAATACAACTCTTCATCAGATTTTTAAAAATATTTGATTGCCAGTCTTTCATCGCATCAAAACACTGTAAACATAGCAATAAACTTATTTATATTCATAAGTAAATATTATCATATAGTATTATATTAGATTATAGAATAGAAAATTGAACTTTATTCTGGGACTTAGTTCCCTTAGAATAACAATGATGAATTAATACAAAAGAAAATAAAAATCTGGCCAAAAACTAACTTATAAAAATTCTAACATTATATACATTATTTAAAAAATAGTATGTAACTCCTAAAAAATTAACAAAAAAAAATAAATGAACATAAAACCTTCTCAAAATTACTTATGATGTAAAAACAAAACAAAAAGAAATTACTGAATATTTAATATTTGACCGTTGCATTATAAAGGAAGGAGATGGTCCGGGGTTGCGGTCATAAAAAGGCTAAATAGTGGTAAAACTATTTTATTGAAAGCCAACGTTTCACTCCTAGAGGAACACACCTCCCTGATGAAGACCTGCAAAGTCGGGTCGAAACGTTGGCTTTCAATAAAATAGTTTTACCACTATTTAGCCTTTTTATGACCGCAACCCCTGACCATCTCCTTCCTTTAAAAAGAAATTACATATTTATATATACAAACTACACAATTTATAAACTATAGGTTAACTAATAAAAAAATAACTTGGTTCAAAATGTAATAATATCTACAGTGATTTATATAATAATATGCAAACACTAAGAGAAATAAAAATAAAATCTCAAGATTACTTGTAGTTTAATGGAAATAAAAAGAAATATATATATATATACCTACTACTCATATTGGTACACAGAGAGGCAAAAAGTATAACCTGGATAAATAAAAATAAATAAATAAAACAATAATATAATAAGGTAACAAATGTAATAACAAAAAGACATTGGTTTAGATGTTAAAATATAAAAAGTAGGCTAAATTAATAAACTAGCACTATAAAATTATATGTTAAGGGGTAAACAAAAAAATCTTTTCAAGTGTGATTATAGTTGAAATGGAAAATAAAATAAAAATGCATAAAAAATATATGTTCATATAAACATATATACCCAGAAAGAAAAAGCACAACCTGAAGCGAAGAGAAAAAAAAAAAATTAAAAATAATAATCAAACTAGGTGACAAAGATCATTTATGTTTTATGTTAAAACTTATATAGAATTAGGAACTTATTAGGATATAGGAAGGGTGCTGGGATTTGATCGTTTGGTATTAGAAATTTCCAAAGAAGTATTGGCGGCGGAAAGAGGTGAAGAGCCACTTTGACTCTCATATAAGTGGGGCACATGAGACCATCTTGAAGTGCCGAATACGAATCTTAAGTTCATGATTCTCTTCAGTCTGTCCTCAAGCACCAACAAGAGACCGTTGTATACCACACAGCCATAGGCAAAGTGGGGGAAATCAATGAGGAAACGAGGAGCTTGCAGATAAGTTGTGGGAGATGCTGACGAGAACGATGGAATAGTTTAAGTGTACCAATTGACCTTCTGGAGATATGAGCAATATGGGTTTTCAGGATAGGTTTTGATCAATGGTAATTCCTAAGTTTTTTATAGAGGAAATGAAGAAGATTGGTTGGTCATTAATAATCAAGGAAGGAAGGGTGGAAATGGATCTAAGGAGGGAGTTGATACCTATAAGAATGGCCTGAGTTTTCATTGCGCTTAACTTTAATATATTCAAGCTTGCCCAGGCACTGATCCTATCCAGGCCTTTCTGAATATTAGTAAATGCTTCTAATAACTCAGAGGGCGGATAGGAAATATAAATTTGAGAGTCATCAGCATATAGATGGTTTGAGCAATGGTGAATTGGATTATACTTAGATAATCTTGTATTTCTGTACAATTGATAACATTATATGAACTTTGACTAAGAAAACTTTAAAGGAATTATTATTTAAATAAAACTTAACATAAAAAGCAGAATAAATAAAGTTTTGAATAAAGCATTTTTTAATAATTTATTTTATCTATCTGTGAAATGAGAATATTGTGCACTTAAAATAACTAATTTTGATTTACATATGGTTTGTATAATTTTGTGTGTATAAAACATAACTTTTAGGAAAGCTTCATGTGACCTATTATTTGTTTTATAAGTACATATATTTTCCAGAACCGAGAATTACAAATAATGAGGCGCCTAGAACATTGTAACATAGTAAAGTTGAAATACTTCTTCTATTCTAGTGGAGATAAGGTAAGTAAATTTGTTAAGAAAATTTCGATTTGTATGTGATAAGTTTCATTCGAGTTTATTTATTTTTTATATATTATATTTTTTCTTTTCTTCTCTCAGATGTATGGAGTAACTTCTACATCCCGGAAAGATCAAGGGAATGTAGGTTATTTTTTCCTTCTGCTTAATTATTAAGATTTTTCTGCAAAGTTCTACTACAGGTGTCTATTGGCACTAGCTTTTGGTCAATTTCAAAATCCTAAGGTTGAAATCAAAATTTTGTGTTCTTACCTTTTGATTTGTATCATAAAATAGTTAGGGAATGTAATGGTCTAACTTATTGTTTCAGTATATACAAAATTTATTCACAAAATAATAATATAAAGCTGGCAAAAACATCAGTAGAAGAAAAGATATGTTTTCCTGTTTTAATATGTTTTTTTTTTTGCTATGCTATGCTTATAGAAATTTTGTAGGTCATTTCCATCATTGTTATATGTATATTCAGTGATAGCACATGTCCAGATTAACCATAGCTTTCATTGTGATCAAAGATATCATGTGATCGTCCTATTATTGACAAATGAAAAAAATTGAAATATGAAAATAATTGCTTAAAATTATGGTCCCGATTTTTTTGTTTAAAGAAGAAATCCTTGGTTCTTGAGTTTCTTCTTAAAGGACTGGATATAAATGTGGGGCTCATTGTATAAAATGAATAGATTTTATTAATCAATTCATAACATATAAGGAAAAATATTGAACAAGGGAATCTGTCTTATCTGGAACAACTTGTTTTCTCTCTCAGCTAAAATTCTATTGGAACCCTTACGTTGCACATTCCGTGTCATCTTGGTTTAATATAATGTTCAGTGAACATAGAATTGGTTTTCTTACTTCATACACTTCTAGGCATATCAGTATCATCTATGTATCGTTTGTTTGTTCTATGAACTCCAGGTTGTGTACAGACAGGGTTTTCATTTCATCATGTACTTTTAATTGTTGAATTTTGATATTTTATTGAAACCTATGTTAAAATTTGAATATCCTCTTAAAACTTTATTAAGTTATTGTCTTTCGACAGAAAATGTTTTTATTGTGACATTTTTATAGTTTTATAATTTTTTTCAAGTAAAAATTGTTTGCAATGATGTAGTTCTTGGAGTTTTTTTTTTCTTCTGCGTCACTGATTATTTGTATTTAGTGGGATTTGTGTTCAAATTTAACAATTCTATTGCTACATTTTTCCATTTCAGTACATTTTATAAGTATGTAGTTTATTATTTTCTATAAACATCTCAGATTAAAACTGACAACAAATTATCATTTCATATTTGTTTTAATTAAATTACAGAATTCAGACATATATATTTGAGAATCAATTTGTAGTTGATAATAATAATTGCTGCTTCCCTACTAAAGATGGGAAATTAATATTCATGTTGTAGGTTCATGGCTCATGGTTACAGATATTTTTGTCCTTACAATCGAAAATTTCAATTCACAATTTATATTTTAGACTGTATTTAAACAAAATCTTGTGATGGGCATATCACTTAATACCATTAATTCAATTTTCAAGAAATTTTCAGTCTATATATGGGTTTGTCATAAAAATTATGAGGAAGCTATAATGACTTACTTTGCAAACATTTTTTAACTAACTTCAGTAAAACAATAATAGACTTAAAAATCAGACAAAACAAAAAAAAAAAAGGCCAATAAACAAGATTGAAATTAATATAAATTATTGTATTTTTGTGCATCTTTAAAACAATTATTATTATCAAAGGACTTAAGAAAGATTTCAGAATAACTGAAATGAAAAGGAAATTACAATCAATAACTTATCTCTCTTGTATGGAATTTTCCTATTACGAATTATTTAATAAATTTTGTAAATAATACATAAACAGTTCTAGAGGTTTTCTGTTTTTTATCTAAAGCATCAAAATCATCTCGAAACTGTTGTAATTGTTATTATTTTAGTGTTATAGTTTAATTTTATTAGTTATAGTGCATAAACCGTAAACTTTTAATGCCTGTTTTATAATGAATTACTATCTTATTAGCTTTAGTATAGTGGATTCATTCTAAAATTTTGTTATTTTTAGTTTTTTATGCATTAACTATAAATTCATGAATATCACAGCAGTATTTTATTTTTATACATAATTACAAATCTAAGAATTAAATGTATGAAGAGCTTAGATTCTTGCAAGTATCTCTTTGTTGATCAAATACATTTCTACAATTTAATTAATATAAATACTTTATATTATAAATTATGGTAGTAACTAAGCATATTCAAATGAGAAAAGCAGGTTTCTTAAAAGTTTCCTTTTGGACATTAAACCCGAACAGAATTTATCAGGCCCTCCATTTTAATTATTTAATAAATTTATATAATTTATTAAATAATTTAATTAATATACAAACACCGAGGGAGTGGAAAATAGCAGGATAATACTGTTTTTATTTTGATAATTTTAAGGAAATGGTTTTTCTTTTGATACTTATCTGTCCTAGCCTTTGCCAGTTTATTTCTTAATGGTCTTAAATATATGTAATCAATGCCATATTATTCAATGTTTTAATTAATGTAATATTGTTATCATAAGTTAAAAGGTCTTAACTTTAAACCATTTTTCTGTATACATTATTTTAAAGTTTCTAATTTGGTCTAAAAAGTACCCAATTTTTAGCATTATAAAACCCTTAATCAAATGACTGTATTAAAATCATTGGATTTAGGGCTCTCCAATATTTTATAAAAAACTTAAAAATCGATCAAGCCGTTCCCTCAAAAATCGTTACATAGCTTTTAGTAGACAACCCAAACACTTTGCTTAGTAAAATAAAAAAGATTTACCCAAAAACTATTTTTTTTAAAAAATTGGAGACAAAAGCAATGCTTTCAACTTTGATGGCAGAATATTCATATTTTTTAGTTTATTTATGGCTATAGATGTTTTAAAATATTTATTAGTTTAATCAGAATTCTTAACTCTGGTATTATATATTTTCTTTTTCTACTAAGAATAATTATGTTTGTATTTTATTTATATAAACTATTTATATTTGTATAAATTCTAATGTTATCAAGAAAATATAACTAAAAAAACATAAACAACAATACATGGCAAGTATCGCATATTGTTAGAATTAGGGTGGGCCTGTGCAGCATGTGGCACTTATCGTACGTTATCTTGAAACCAGTGAAATTATAGGGTTTTAAAATGGAGGGCCTGATAAATTCTGTTCGGGTTTAATGTCCAAAAGGAAACTTTTAAGAAACCTTCTTTTCTCATTCGAATATGCTTAGTTACTACCATTGCAATTTTGAAACTACCTATGTTTTTAAAAATTTTATCAAAGTCAGAATGAACAATTCAATAATCGAAAGTCATTGATACCATATTAGCTGGAAAAGGCTCCTGTCTTAATTAAAAATAATTAATTATGCCTTGTAATTAAAAAGGCATATATATATATATATATATATATATATATTGTGCTAGTATTGAGATAATGGAAGGATGTAGTGGATAAAGGTGATATTTTGGGGAAAAATTAAATTATTGCTAAGAATAAAAGTGTAAAGTGTGATATATTGTTAATATTTATTTTTTATATTAAGATAATTTCAATATTTGATTTATAACAGAAGAGATCGAGATGTCTATTGATGATACACATCAGTCTTATTTTAGATATAGGCGATTAAAATTAATTTTTTTGATATATCAAAAATGTTACTTATCACCTTCATCCACTTGATCCTTAAATTGTGTTATACCATGCTTTTATAATTATTTTAATTATGAAATCTGCCATTTATGATTTTAAGTTGTTGTTTAATCTATTTCAGAAAGATGAGGTGTATTTAAATTTAGTATTGGAGTATATTCCTGAAACAGTGTACAAAGTCGCCAGACACTATAGCAAGTCTAAACAAACCATACCCATTAGTTTCATTAAGGTAAGCATTTTTGACAGCCAATATTTCATCTGTAAAATAATCCTTTTCTGTTAAGGTACTTAACATAACTATATTTAAACCACTTCACTGAAAACAATTAATGATTTTTTTTAATTTTATAAAAAAATTATTCATTTGTTTTTAACAATTTCTCTTCAAAGTCAAATCTTTAGTTTTTTATTTTGCAATCATTCACATATTTTAAGTGCAGTATGAAGTTGCTAATTTTTTCATTCATTGTTTATGATTAAGGAGCACAATTTAGTTTATAATAAAAAATGTTGCTCTATGAAATGTGCTTGCTACTTTTCTGAAAAAAATATATTGTTCTTGTTTTATTTAAATTAACTCCATGAATTCATCAAATTATATTTAGTAATTTTTAAAAAAGGATGTTTAATATTTATTTTTAAAAAGTTGACAGGAAAATATATTTTATTAATAATTTTAAAAATAAATTATATCAAAATTGAATAGTGTAATTCATTTGAGTATTCATACCATATTTCATATGAATTTTCCTTGTAGAATCTGACACTAACATGAATAATTTGAGCTCTGAATTCTTCAAGGAAAAATATAATTGAGAATGACTACCTCAGAAAAAGTTTTATATGTATACTGTTTGTATAAAACTATTTGAATAAATTTTAGGTCAGTATATTTTAGCTGAAGGTGATTTTTTAAAATGAAATAAATAAAATTAGGATGAATATCATTAATATGAACAAAAGACTTGAAAATGTCTCTAGATTGCTGAAACATTAAGAAAAATAAAGCAATATTAATAAAAACAATTGCTTATGATTACTGACATAAAATTTATCTAAACAAAAATATTGTGGCATAAGAGATAATAAATATGACTAGAAAAACTAAAATTTAAAAAAAGTTAAGTATTTTAATTACATTTTGATATGAAGTCAACCAAAAATCATGCATTTCTCATCTCAATGCCTTTCTTAGAAATTATTGAAGTCTATAGCATATATCTTTTGCTATGAATATAAAGTTCTTTGCAACTGAAATCTAAAGTTATAAGTTCAGTACTTTAGTAATACAATGTAACCTAAGAAAGGAAGTTATTAAGCATTGATGATTGACAGTGTGACAAATCAGGAATAATGTGGTCCAAGTAGGGGTGAAGAATAACATAATTAACAAATTGAAGGAATTATTTATTTATGCTGTCATTCAGACCCTAGGCCTTCATCAGTTCTGAAAACTGAGACGACCAGGCGTTAACTGAGGGATGTTATGTTATACCTGACCACCACCTTGTGTGAAAGAATCGAACCATCTCGTAGCTAAAAAATAAAAGAGACAACTTAATTATTAATCTTAGTTGTTGTATACTGGGAGTGGGGTAGCTCAGTGGTAGGATACTGGGCTTCCATGATAAAGATCCCAGGTTCGAATCCCGGCTCATGGCAGAAAAATTATTTATTCTGTTTCATTAGCCGTGGGGCAATCCTAGGTAGGTAGACCCTCTGGAGGCACATCTAGTCTTTATAGGTGGGTACCGTTAATCAAAATAATTGATTAAGGGGAAAAACCCTGTGGTTGAGCCTGATCTCTGTCAAATCACCTCCCTGCACAGCCGTAGACGAAGAAACATTACTGAACCCAAGATCTTTCATGAGTTGTAGTGGTACAGGTTTTTTTTTTTTTTTTTTTTTTTTTTTTTTTTTTTTTTTTTTTTTTTTTTTTTTTTTAATATATACTGAGTTATCGGAATGTAGTTTCAATTTATAATTTAATGTATTGTATAATTTTCGATGAGTGGTAGTTTCTTGATTGCATCATATTTATTTTTCAGTTATACATGTACCAGGTGATGAGGAGCTTAGGCTACATTCATTCATTAGGCATCTGTCATAGGGACATTAAACCTCAAAACCTTCTTCTCCATCCAGAATCAGGAGTTCTTAAACTGTGTGACTTTGGATCTGCAAAACATCTAGTTAAAGGAGAACCGAATGTATCTTACATTTGTTCAAGATATTATAGGGCTCCTGAACTTATTTTTGGGGCTATTGACTACACCACCAAAATAGGTAAATATGTCATCTAAATTTGTTTTCCTAACGTACAGGGTGTCTAGGCAGAGAAAAGTCACAAGTTTTCATCTAACTTGCCAGAAAGTCAGGGGATTTTCCAATAATTCATTGTCCAAAATAATTATAAAATAAATATTATTATATACAAAAAAAAATTAAAAAGTAGGTTCCCCAAATATTTTTATTTTTTTTACTATCTTCCCTCAGTATCAGAATTTAGTGTAAATTAGAATCTGCCCACTAACCATTAAATTTGTTTTTGGGTTTAGCTTTACATTTAGTTTATCTCATTCTCATATCTTTTATATTTTGACAATTGATTACATTCTATTAAATATTCTGGAAGTTATATGGAGAGAGAATATAGCCTCATGTTGAATTCTTGATAATGATTTAGATCAAGATGTTTGCTGTGAAGTTCAAAACATTTTTCAAAAATCAATCATATTTAAAATGACGGTGTTAATGTTTTTTTTTTTTAATATGTGCCATAGATGTTTGGAGTGCGGGATGTGTTCTTGCTGAATTGTTACTTGGCCAACCAATTTTTCCTGGGGATTCAGGAGTCGACCAGTTGGTAGAAATAATTAAAGTTCTTGGTACTCCAACAAGGGAACAAATTCGGGAAATGAATCCCAATTACACAGAATTTAAGTTTCCTCAGATCAAATCCCATCCTTGGCAAAAGGTAAAATTATTTCATTAATTTCTTGATTATTATCAACTTGTTTTATTTATAAATGTGTTATAGCATCCTCTATTTCTGGGATATAATTTTATAATACACTTAGTAATTACTTATCTACACTTTTTTTTACACTCTTTATATCATCTAGGTTTGTGCATAAATAAAATTTACGTTATTTTCTTCATTAATCCTTTAACAATGGTGGACTCATATATGAGTCGAGAGCCAGTGAGGCTCTTGTCCCTTTAAATAACGGGGTGCCCAGTGATGAATTCTGTTTTTAAACTATCTCGTGGCCTTATATCAATAGTATAAAAAATAGATAAAATAAAATAATAAAAAAATTTGGAGCGATGGCTAGAATGAAAAGGTTTAAGTTGTGAGTAGAGGTGATGAAAAGTACTCCGTCACAGGGACATCGGGAGCTGCCAGCTAATGCTGTGCTGAAGGCCGCTCCTTCCTTCCCACTCATCGTTGGATATTTATAATATATAAATACATAGAATTTGTCAGTATAAAGAAAATATTTGTGAACTTAGCTCAAAATTTGTGTTTGAAATTTTATATGCTATTTGTTATTAAATATTGTTAACAAATGGTTTTGATTTTTAAAATTTTAATTTAGAACTCAATAATACAAAAGATGTCTGAGTCAAAAATTATATGTGGAGAAACTATCTGTTTGTAGCACTATTATATAATTATTCTCAATCTTAAAATGTTAATAATTGTGGATCATATTTAAAATGATATAAAAATTATTAAATTAGTGAAAATTAAGGTAGAGGCTTAATTATACAGGTCTGGGTCAACCCATATGAAGTGTTCTAATGATGGTCACTTGACCATTTTTAATTTTTTAAATATTTTGTATGTTGATTGCTTGTTCTGATAAATCAAAATGGCTGAACTTTGATAGGTCTTTATAGACCTAGAAAAAGCCTATGGTAGTGTACCATGTACACTGTGATGGGAATCCTTTAGGAAGGCTGACATTTACAATGGAAGTCTGATTCTATTTAAAAATCGATCACAATGGTTCATTATTGAAAATAATAAACCAAAAATTACAGAAATAATAGGTGCCTGATAAGAATAGGACTATTATTATCTAATGAATTCCAAAACAAAAAAGGAATACTATAAGGATGCTGTGTACCTCCCACTCTATTTAAAATTTACATAGACAAATGCCTAAAAGGTCGGATGAGGAAATATGGAAAAATGATTATTAGTTGAAAGAAGTAAACCTTTTTCATTTATTCCTTGCCGATGACCAGGATGAAGAGGATGTCAGTCTGCTACCTCTTCAGAAAAATAGTTGTCCAATTTGAACAAGATGATCTCAAAATAAGTTATAATAAAACTGAATATATATGCATGGAGAGAGGAGAGAGCATCGACCCAACATTAGGGAAGCTGAGTGAAGTAGAACAATGCTGTTAACTGTGACCATCATAAAAAGTAATGGTGGAACAGATGCAGAAATCCAAAACAAGACCACAAATGACAAGAAACCAATGGGAATGCTTAACTGTCTACTGTGTAGCAGCATTATTCTATTAAAAAAAAAAAAAAGATCTACAAAGCATTGTTAGAAAGTATAATGTTATATGGATCAGTGATATAGTCCCTCAGCGTAACCTAAGGGAAACGTTCTTTCCTATAGAAATGAATTTTTTGGGGGAGAACGGAAAGAGGATTGAAAGGGTCAGAAACATCATTATGAGTGAGAAATTGGGATTAGAAGAAAATGTCCTAGAAATGATGGAAGAAAGAAGACAGAGGTGGTATGGCCACCTGAGACAAATGAATGACAATGAGATACCGAAGCTAATTATGAATCGGGAGGCAGAAAAAAAGTAGATTCCTTTATGGTTCTAGAGATAGAACAAGAATCATGGATGTTTTTTCATTTTTCTGAGGTTATACATGATTTCAGTTTAAATAAGAATTTGTGGTTTTATCAATAGTTCTAAAAGTTAGATTTTATCTTTTCTGAGGCTGAAATATTAGTTATTGATAAATAAATTTCTTCTTTTATAATAGTGAACTTATAATTAGTAATTTATTTCACTATGTTTTGTATCTTTTTTAGCCCTGAAAACGACCTGCAAAGTGGGTCAAATCATCGGCAAAAATTAAATAATTACTATATTTTAATTTAGTATTTATTTGACCGCACCTCCCGATTAACTCCTTCTCAAATTAGTAATTTAAATCATAATATTTGTATTATTGGCTTTTTGTACTTGGCAGTTGTGTATTAATCTAATATTTATTATAATTTATTTCAATATTCTTTAGAGAAATTGATAATTCCTTTCTTTCAATTATTCAATGAGCAACTTTAGAGCAAAAACTTGTGTATTATTTTAAAATTTTGTTTTTCTCTTACACCCGATATTACTTTCTTTTTTTTCGGTTTGCTCTACAGACCATATAGATCTTTAATCACTTCATCAGCCTTCTTCACCTCTTGCTATCTTGGAATATTTGCTATTGGTTTTTACTGTATCTGAACTTTATATGTAAGTGTGTAGTGTACTGATTGAGCGTATTAGTTCTTTTTCTTCCAACCTGGAGTACCAATGGAGGATAGTAGTCCAACGACTGGTTGATGGGATCTGGATATGTTTCATTATTTTCTCTATTTTTGGTTGCAAATATGGACACCATTTGTCTACTAAATTAACTGTATTTATTAACATGTGATATAGTCATTATTATTTTTTGTACGTATATGTCAATAACATTCACTGCATTGATTTTTTTAACCAATGTTGTATTATCATACGTATATGTTTTTAAATAACCTTAAGCATCTACCTTATATTAGCATTTACAAATAAAAACTAAACACATTTTGATATTTATTATATTATTAATATTTATTAAATCATTTGTTCTTCTTTTATTCCCCTGGAAATTATAAAACATACAAAGGATGTCTATGAAGTTAATATTTTTGTTTAAATGATGAAATATAAATTGTTTTAACCTTACAGGTTTTGCCAGGCGAATCTTGAAATAGATATTTATTAATGAAGTATGAAGATTGGCCAGTTCTTACATTTCAAATATACTTTGATTACTTATAATTAATAAATTATTAATGAATGGTGGAACACATTTCACGATAAAAATAATTTTCTATAGAAAATGTTGATTTCAGTTGTATTTTCTCATTTTTTCATTAATATTACCTTTATAATTGAGCTTTCCTGTATTTTTTTATATCAATAACCAAAACTTTTTAATGGCTACTAAAAAAAAAAAATCACTTGCTTGTGCTGTACTCCAATTTGTACATTTGGTGAAAATATGTTAATTCTGAAATAGCCTTATTTGGGCAAGAACTTATGAAGTCATAATATCACAATCCGTCTTGTATAGTGAAACTAAATATAAATGTAATCATTTACTTATTTATTTGGAGAAGCCCGTCATAGTTGCCTAATATTCATTCAGGGTTTCTTAGTTCTTAAGTTATGAATTATTATTATTATTTTGTTTTTTTTGCTAAATGGATATTATGGCTCTTTTAAGTTGTTTAATAATTTTGGTTTTATTTATTCATGTAAACTTTTACAGTTGTTACTTCAGCAAAAGTCAGCGCCTAAGTCTAGCACAAATCACCAAAAAATTAGAGTAAGTTAAGTTAAAAGAGAAAATGACCTACCCATTCCAGATCCTTCAAAAGATGGATTTATGAAATTAACAGCTTCGCTTTGATTCCTCAGTGCTCGTTATTTGTTTGTTTATTCATTAAGTTTTTGTCTTGTTTCTTCTAATAACAGACACCATTTTGTTATTCTCTCTTTTATTTGTATTTAAAATTTGATTATGTTTTTCTTAATTTAATCAAATAATGTTATGTAGTAAGGCTAAGATATTTTTAACATTGAACTAAATATAAATTTTGGTCGTTTGGGACTAAAGGCCGTTATATGCTTAAGTATCTCTTATGCATAGTGCTAATGTAACTCCGTATATAAAAAATTTGAATGCATTTTTAAGATTTTCAGATTTATTTCATTTTTTTTTTTAATAACCATCTAAGCTTTTTTATTTTTTTTAATGAATACATATAAATTACAATCAAGGATACATGTAGAATGAACAATTATCATTCCGTTAATCTAAAACAATATTTAAAGAATACAATATTTAATTTAAATGTTTTTGATTTAATTTTTTTATTTGAACTATAAAAATTGGACTTTTCTTCCTTTATATAATTTTCTTAATATATTAAGAACATTGTTGATTTTTATGAGACTTATTCTAGATTGATTGTTGATTTCAGTTAAATGGTTAGTCTCCTTGTTATATTTTGATTTATCCTCCCTCTATTACATATTCTATTTGTTGTAGTGATTCATTCATTCATTCTTTGTGTTAAGTTCAAAGTATAATTCATGATTGTAAGACAGAAATAGCCAAATATTTTTCCAACCAGCTGATTGAAATGTACTTATTAAAAATTATAAGTACTGGCATTATAATTTGAACCTGTTGGCAATAAATATCTTTCTTTTATATTTTTTAATAATAACTTATTAAAAGAATTGTAATTACTTCTTTAGGTACTAATTAATTTGTAGAATTATTTTTTTGTTTATTTACTTTTTTTTACACCTATTGTTAATAGAATACTAAACCAGAGGTAGAAAAAACATTTTTATTATTTTACACATCTTCAAATAATATTTATATTAAAATCCATTATGAGAAATAATAGCATATTTATTTCTACTATTCACTTCTAACAAACCATACAAAATACTGCATGATTGGATAAATACATAATTAGTATTTAAAATACCTATTTCTTCCCCTCACCCAACCGTAAATATTGATATATTTCTCCTTTATGAATAGAGTATCTTTTCTTTCCCGCATTATTATTGAGTGTGTTTTAATTTTATTTGATTGTTAGTAATGTAATTTTTGAGGAAGATCAAATACATGGTCTATCTGTTTATTTCTTGCCCAGA